CTTCTACAAGCTCTTAGTCAGGCTCACTGCCAGGTCAGAAAACCATGAGGAACTCAAGTATGGCAAGATGTTGACCAAAATAAGATGGAAAGTTCTAGAAAAGTGTATTTGAAATCTTAACATCTGGTATCATTAATGATGTATCTCATACTAAGTATATACACCTTGAAATACTGGCTTATAAAAATACACATATATAGTTTATGATAAATAAATATACATATATTGGGAATGTATGCTCAACTTTTCTTTTTTTATTGGAAAAGCTTGGTGACCACTGCTTTCATGTAATAAATGCAGAACCTGTAGTAGGTGTAGGAAGAAACTTCTGGGTGTGCATAGCATAGGCAGTTCATTGTTCCTGGCAACTGGGGGGACAGATCACAGATAGTTGAGCTGCGTCATGAAGAATGAATGAAATGTCAACAGAGGAAGAAAAGGAGAGGCTCATTGCAGATTGAGGGAACAGTATGAGCAGAGACTCAGGGACTCAGAGAACATAGCCTAGAAAAGAGAGCAATGGGCAAGTCCAAGTCTCCTGGAATGTACTGTGTCTAGGTGGAGGGGTGGCTGGTAACCCTGGAAAGGTGGATCACACCCAGATTCAAAGGACCTGAATTCTATGTTAAGAATTTGGACCAGACACTACAAGCTATAGGGTGTCAGTGGAGATGTATGAGTGAAGAAATCCCATGGTCCAATTACTAGTTTGGTTGTCTCTGACATCACTTTCAGTGGTAAATTGGCCCAGGGAAATGTTAGAGTAGGCAGCTATATAGGCTCTAACAGGATGGGGGGTGGCGGGGAGTCAGCAACAAGGAAGTCGTGGCCAGCTATTGGGAAGGTCAGAGGCCTGTCCTGCCAGCACTCCCTAAGGCAATCAAACCAGGCAGGCCCAAGATGGCGGATGTGATGACAGGAAACCCCTGACCAAATTAGGAAGAAAAAGCAATGAAACCCTCCTTGCTTCCTGCCCCAAGTAATGAATATTCTGCCCCCTGGTTAACAACTATCAATAAAAGATTGGAAACCAACCCCCAGGGTGAGCCACTCTCTCTCCAGCTGGAGCTCTGTAGTGTACCTTTTACTTTAATAAACTTTCCTGCTTCTGTTAGTCATCCACTGTGCTGCGTCCTTGAATTCATTCTGTCCTTGAATTCATTCTTGTGACAAGACCAAGAACCTTCGGTGACTCGTTCCAGTCTGGCTGGGTCCAGGCTCCAGGGCCCAGACTCCTCAGTTCACCTGAAAAAGGAGGAGAGATAAATGATGATATTGACATTGGTTTTAAGAATATCTACTTTACCGGGCGCCTGGGTGGCTCAGTCGTCAAGCGTCTGCCTTCGGCTCAGGTCATGATCCCAGGGTCCTGGGATCGAGTCCCACATCGGGCTCCCTGCTCGGCGGGAAGCCTGCTTCTCCCTCTCCCACTCCCCCTGCTTGTGTTCCTGCTCTCGCTATCTCTCTCTCTGTCAAATAAATAAATAAAAGTCTTTAAAAAAAAAAAAAAAGAATATCTACCTACCTATCTATCTATCTATCATCTATCTATCTATCATCTATCTATCATTATGTACCTTTTACTGAGAAACTTAGAGCACTATACTAGAACCAAGACAAAAAAATACCACTTAATATTTAGGAGATACTAAGAATTAATCCTAATTTTTTTTTTCATTTCTAATTGTGGTAAAATGCACAAAACACAACACTTGCCATCTTAGCCATTATTAAGTGTAAATTCAGTGGCATTAAGTACATTCTCTAAATGCTCTGCAACCATCACCACCATCCATCTCCAGAGCTCTTTTCATCTTGCAAAACTGAAACTCTGTCCCCATTAAACACGAACTCCCCATTATCCCTTCCTCTCAGCCCCTGGCGACCACCATTCTTTCTTTTTTCTTTTTTTTCCCCCACCATTCTTTCTGACTCTATGAATTTGACTATTCTAGGGACCTCATATACATGAAATCATATAACATTTGTCTTCTGATAGCTGGTTTATTTCCTTAGCCTAATATCTTCAGAGTTCCTCCATGTTATGTCAGGATTTCCTTTTTTTTAAAGGCTGAGTGATATTCCATTGTATGTGTATGCCACATTTTATTTCATCTGTCGATGAATACTTGAGTTCTTCCACCTTTTAGCTGTTGTATATAATGTTGCTGTGAACATGATCTCTTTGAAATTCTGCTTTCAATTTTCTGGGTATATGTGAAAAACAGTCTCTTTTAGTAAGTTTCCTTTCTACGGGGTTATTTTGAAAGAGGTAGAGAGTTTTCCCAGAGGTTCCCTTAATGCATTATTTTCTTGACAATGTACCACAGATATGTGGTGGCACTCACAAGTGGGCTGGGCATGTCAAGCTCTTAAGAGTTCCTGTTCAGAAGCTGCCCTGTTTCTTTCTTCAATGAAGACATAGTTAATATCCACCAGGCATCTCAATCCAGGAGACAAAGGGTGTTACCATAGGTATGTGTGTATCTATCTATCTGAATACACAGGGGTGTTTTGTTTTGTTTTGTTTGTTTTTAAGTAGGCTCCATGCCCATCGTGGAGCTAAACACGGGGACTGAACTCATGACCCCGAGACCAAGACCTGAGCTGAGATCAAGAGTCGGAGGCTTCACCAACTGAGTCACCCAGATGCCCCTCAATATAGTTTTAATTTTATTTAAACGGCAAGCAAAGGTCTAAGAGCAGAAGTAGAAGAGCAACGGAGCACTGCCTAGACCTTCGTGAGCAGCCCCTGCTGATGCAACAGCCTCTAAGGTGGGGTGGCAGATCTGCAATCACCTTACCCCACAGCTGTCTGGCACTGACTCTGAAAATGGCTCCCGAGGCCTATCTGCGTGTGTGTACTCAATTCATTTCATAAGGGATTTATTTATAAATTTGTTGATTTCATGGACTGCACCTTGCAAGATGCGCCCTGTCAATCTTAGCATTTTGTAATGTTCCCATGTAAGGGTACTTTCTACTCCTCTGTTTCTGTTTTCTACACCATCTGGCTCTGTATGGTGAAATGCCATTTACCTAGGATTCCCAGACCAAGCATTCTCTGGCTTTGCCCTCCCCCAGCCCGAGGATCTTACAGATCACTGATACTGTGGGGGAGGAGAGCCGGCTTACACTAGGGAGGCGGTGCCTTGGAAAGCCGGGTTCTACCCCCTCTGCCCATTTGTTTGACAAAGAAGGCAAATCTCTTCGGTGAAAGCTCAGCACTCCGCCTGGACTGAGGCCATTTGAACTCAAATTCGAACGCAGGCAACGGAAAAACAGCCAGCCTTACCGAGGAACAAAAGCATATATTTCCGCACTGCCCTGCACTCACGGACTCAGAATTTTCCCTGCTCATTCTAGTCTTTTGCTACCTGGGCCGGCTGCTCCCCCCGGAGCCCCACGACCTCGGAAGGACAGGGGCTCTGAGACTCACAGCCCGACAACCCTTGGACTAAAGAGCACCAGGGCAGCTCTGCTGGGAGCTGCTAGCTTCTCATCGGGGGAGGGGAAGGCCTGGGAGAGGAAAGGGGGAGGACAGTGGCATAGAAACAGAGAGAGTGACAAAGCTGAGAAAGCAGAGGTCTCGGTGGGGCCCAGGAAGCCCGTGCACCATCTCCTTCGCCACAGTCACACTATGGGGCTGCGACCCCTTCCTCTGGGCATTCGACTCCTTTACGTCGGTGTTAGGATTGGTAGCTTTCCAATATTTCTAGCTGGAGAGTATTAAGAAGAGTGAAAAAAGGAAATAATGATGGATTGGCAGTCTCTTTCAATTCCTCTTCATTCATTGGCCAAGTGTCGGTTGCCTAGGAAACCGCTTGCAGCTTGCGGCGGAGTAGGCTGTCAGGCTACCCGGGCTTGGGCTGTGTATCAAGTGGTGAATGCAGGCAGGCAGTAGGGAAATCCGAAAGCTAGATGTCTTGTAATTTCAGTAAGTGTGTTTAAAAAAAAAAAAAAATCTTGCTTTAAGAAAATAATGCTTTAAAAATTTACTACCAAATCAGCAGTACAATGCTCCTTATCAGACTTCAATTAATTAAAACAATGACTCTGTGTGTAATCATAGAGAAATGCAAAATCACTTGAGAATTTGCCATTGAAAATACTCTGAATATTGTGAGAGCAAATACAACTTTAATAGCTTCAGGGGTATCTCACTCACCTCAGCCACCTAATCTGTTATGCATAGAATAAATGTTGGATTTTATTTTACGCTGCGTTGTTTCTACAACTGTCTGGGAAAGGGAAATTTTAGGAATATTGGTACATCATTAAAGCTAATAGCCTGTAAGTGATGGTGAAATATATTGTCCTGACACCTTTCACATCTGGTATACAGTGACCGAGGTGGAGAAGAACTGTGTATAATTCACAAAAAGAAATGCTGGAGGACCCAACTGAGGCCGGATCTATTTATGCTTTGGAGGCCCCTTACCAGCCTCCCCTCAGGAGCTGTACGGAATACAGATGATAAGGATTAACAGATAAACGGAAAGATCGGGGAAAGATTTGGCTGTCATCAACGTTCAGCTTTCCGACCCCAAATCACCTTCTTGCGAAAATAAAATGTGTAGCAGCATAATTCCAAATTGGGAAGGGGGGCAATGGAGAGGCCTAAAGCCCTTAACAAGAGTGCCGGCTCCGCAGAGGCTGGGGTGGACGACAGTACCCGCAGATGTATGAAAGGGAGGGCATCCGGGCTTTCAGAAGAGTGAGTTCCAGCCTCACCCTATCCCAAGCATTCTCCCCTAAAATAAACCCGAGAGGAAAGGGCCCTTTTTTTTTTTTTTAAGATTTTATTTATTTATTTGAGAGAGAGAGAATGAGAGACAGAGAGCAGGAGAGGGAGGA